AAATAGGGACTGAGTCTGCGAACGTTGGTGAAGCTCTATTACATTCGGTGAAATTTTGAGATATGCCTGAACGATTCCAATGTACAAGAGGATTGAGCGTCCTGCTACAACGAGTCGCAGAAGTTCGCCAGAATGAGGAAGACGGTGCATAAAACTGTAAGGGTATTGACATATTTCTTATGCTTCTGAACAGCGGGAAGCAGGCGAAAGCAGGGATATTCTTTTGGACGGGAAAAACAGCCGCGGGATGTAAAAAATTTTAAAACGGAGCACCGCCGCTTCACCCCAAACGGCCTATCGGTTATGTTCGGTGACGAACAACAGGGAAAAATCCGTCCCAAACGAGGCCTAAATCATTGATAGACATAAAAGGAATAAGATGCTTAATATTAAGGCTATTACATGTATGAATGCTAGGTAGTAATTAGAAATAATTCTCCCCATAATTTCATTAGGACCAAAATTTCAAGCTACCAACTTGTTGAACTCAGGAGGTAAGAATCCATTCTGGGTGAGAACCGCCCAACGAAAGTCGTTAAGTGATGATGTTCATTATTTAAGTATCAGTGCACGGTTTATATATCATGTTTGTTGTGATACATAACAACAAAAACCTGTTATCTCACTGCATGGGGTTTGCTATATGAATTCTTTTTCGCTATTGTGTCATGTTAAAAGTCAAATTCTCATTTAAATCTAATAAAAAAATGTCATTTCTAATATTTTTTAACCAAGTCTTTTTTAAAAAAAAAAAAAAAAAAAAAAAAAATCCAAATAACCCTAAGGTGACCACATGATTCCTCTTGGATAACTAGACCAAGAAACGACAATTATTAGCATATCACAGCGGAAGCCATGATTTTTTAGAGCTCAAGGAAAGTTGTGGTTAGAGTGGCGGAAGAAAATTTTCAAATTGAAGTGATTAAAATGTTTTGTTTTTCGTAACAATCTAAGGGGTTGGTTCACATTTGGGCATGCTATGTTAGCTTTGTTCTTCTTTTTCGGACACATTTGACACGATGTCAGAACCTTGTTTAGAGATATATTTTATCAATATTGATCCAAATTTGAATGTAGGCAGGCGATATAGTGAACACCAGTAAAAATAAAAACACTCATATTTAACCAAGTCCCACAAAATGTATACAAGATTTATCAAAAACTCATATTTGCCCAAAAGAAATACAAATGCACAGTTTTGTTTTTATTCCTCTTATTTATTTTTAATGAATGGAAATCAAAACAAATACCCCTTCTCCACTTACAAAACTTCCTTATATTTTAAAAAAAAAGAACAATTCTTATAAATTCTATCTTAACATCTCATTTGCATCTGACATCATCCTCCCCAAGGAGAATGAGAATTGCCATCAAATCTTCCATGTGTTGCTCTATATCATTGATAGACATAAAAGGAATAAGATGCTTAATTTTAAGGCTATTACATGCATGAATGTTAGGTAGTAATTGGAAATAATTCTCCCCATAATTTCAATAGGACCAAATTTTCAAGCTACCAACTTGTTGAACTCAGAAGTTAAGAATCCATTCTTGGTGAGAACCGCCCAACCAAAGTCGTCAAGTGATGATGTTCATTATTTTAGCATCAGTGCACGGTTTATATATCATGTTTGTTGTTATACATAACAACAAAAACTTGCTATCTCACTACATGTGGTTTGCTACATAATTTTTTTTCTCTATTGTGTCATGTTAACAGTCAAATTTTCATTTAAATCTAATAAAAAAATGTCATTTCTAATATTTTCTAACAAAGTCTTTTTAGGTATACATCTATCTTTCTTAAGATAGGTCAAATCTAATACATCAACTCTCCTAACAGGGTCATTAAAAGGCCACCGTTTTACATGACCAAACCATCTAAGGCGGGCAGGCGACTCTCTTTAATATTATCTGTCATTAAAGCTACTATAACCTTTTCATGGATATGCTCATCTCGTATCCTAATGGATATGTGTAGTTCAACAATGAGCCACTCAGCTAATTCATCTTGCAAAATCAAATTCGGTAGAAGAATACAAAAAATGAACGACGTCAAAAAAGTCCGTAGATAATTTGAAAATGACTAGAATTGATTAACAACATCATTATATGCAAACAAGTGACAAAAAATTAAGAAAACATTTGATCAATTAAAATTTTTCAAAATTTTATTAAATTTTTAATTATTTTAAAAAATTAATAAAACAATTGGAAAAATTGACAAAGCAATCACTCCATCACCCGGTGTAAAAGATTGGACCCAATGGATGTAGGCCCAACCCACCCATTCGCATGAATGGCCACTGGGTTACTCTATATATACCCCTCTCGATTGTATCTACTCGGGTTCTATGCTTGTGGTGTCGTACTTTTCTAGGGTTTCTTTTGCGTTCCAGTAAGGTTTTGAAGGGGGCTTGGATACTGGTGGATGCGATGTCTGGGAAGGAAGAGGGGCGTATCTTCGTCGGGGGCTTGTCGTGGGATGTCACGGAACGGCAAATTGAGTCTACATTTAGCCGATTCGGCAAGGTGCTGGATGTGCTGGTAATACGGAAGGATTTTACTTTTGCATTATGAAGTTGTACATCTTTTTATCGAGTTAAATAGTTTTGTTATAGGGATTTCTGAATCTGATAGACCTAAGAGCCTATGAAATGGTTTAGCCGTTTTAGCCTTTGGAACTGTTTTTTGTTTTCACTGTGTTATCTCCGTGCTTGAATTTTGATGGCTGATAAAATTCGTATAAACAGATGGATATTCCCTTTCTTTCTGTATTAGATGTTTTATCCTGACCTATCCTTCCCTCTTAGTTCGCTTCTGATGAGGTCGAAATTTTGATGCTCTACTTGATTATTATAGTAAGTGCTGGTTTGGTTAAATGTAGGATTCTGAAAAGCGGAATTTGAGTAGGATTTAATGAGCTTTAGTGAATCTTGATGGGCTTTGGTAGCTCAGATATTTTATCCAACCAAATCTCTATATTGTTTGGTCGCAGATGGGAAGATTTGGTGATTTAAAGAGGTTTAGTAAATCCTGATGAAGCAAATCTCATAAATTTTAGACCCTGTTTGGATACAAGTAGGGTTGAAGTCTTTAAGGGATTAAAACTTTAAAACTGTTTGGCATGACAACTGGTAATTATTTCTATATCCTGATTAGTTGTTTGCTATTTGTTCCTGGATTTAAGAGAGGGAGGGGTTCTTTAATCATGTGAATGATGGGTTTTAACAAATTTTATTAAACTAATAGCAGGTTTGAATAAGATTTATCAAAGTAATCTGATTTAAAGTCCCCCAAAAAATTATTTAGCAGGATTTAAGATAAATCTTTAATTAATACTGTCTAAAATAGGATACCAAATATGTATGGATATGATAAATCTTGATTTAAGCTAATATTTATCCAATCCTACCAAATCCAACATTTATTTCTGGCAGGATTTAGAAGTTCCTTTCCAGGTATTTGGTAGGATTTAACATAAATCCTTCCCAAATCCTACATGAAGTTGCTGACCATTAAATGTGTTATTTTCCATCAGTCTTTTTCCATTCCCGAACAAATTTGAAAGTACGTTGCTGTTGCAAAGTTGTGTTTCTATATATTTTGTCTAACTTTCTGCTAGAGGATTGTATTGATTTTAATCCAATATTAATTTAACCAAAACTTATGGCCATTCATATTATGTCTCATTGCAATTTTATTATGTTACTAGTACCAAACATAATTATTTATGTTGCTATTTGGCTCACTAGGATGGCCTCCTGGGATGCTTTGGCATTCTATTTCGGATCTCAGTACACTCAACGTCTCTTCTTACAATAAATGGTTGTGCAGTAAAGCAGTGCAGAGCTTGAAATGAAAGACAAATTTGTTGCAGTGGCTTTATTTTTCATTTGGTTTAAGATGTAGTTTTGTGATATGTTACTATTCAGTAGCTCTTCCATTGCCTGCCTATGATAGCGCTTGAATTTACTGTCATCTACTGTTGGTGGCTTTGATGATTGTTCATTTATTTGAAATTAGGGTTTTGGGTTAAGTTTGAATGCCATGTGAAACTGCTCACTCTCATAGGATTGGAGTAGACCTTTTTGATAAGCTAACTATCATTTTAAAGCTTATTTTGCCTTACAATGATCTTAAGGTGATTTAGATTTGGCTTCATTGACAAGCAAACTTATTGGATCATTTGTTTGAGAGCCATTTTCAAAGTTTCTTGGACAAATATGTTGAAGTCAGTGGTGAGAAGAATCATGATCGAGGGGCAGGGTTAGCATGCACATTCCTTAATTCCAAATTTAGCATGATTCCTGCAAAAGAGTTTGTTTGGAAGTCTATTTGCCCAAAGTTTCATCTAACGGTCTGCTGAGCATCAGCCTAAGACTGGCACCAATGGCACCAAAATATTTACTTGTACTATTTTAAAGTGCTTGAATTTTGAAATTCCTGCAAAAGAGTGGTTTTCTGCTTGCTCCTTTTGGATGATGTGGTTGAGGTTGAAGACGATCTGCTGACATTCAATGTAGGAGTGGTACCAAGGCTTTGCATGATCTCGTTCTCTTTATGGTTTTAATAGTATTCTTTGCATAGTGGCTGCATATTCAGTCGTTGACTAACATGATTGTTTCAGTTTTTGGTTGCTTGGTTTGCTAACAATGTATCAGTTGTGAGTCCTGATTGCACTGTGATTTGTTTTGACCACTTTTGCTTAACTTTTCTGGTTTTTATCATGAATTAGCATTTCTGTGAAATTCTTATTATCGGTGTCAGAATTATCATAACCTGCTATGCATGCTGAGGTTGATCTTTTCCGTGGTGAAATTTGCAACGGTATCAGTGCAGAATTTGCTTTATGTGAATGATGCTGTTGAGGTTGATATCCATATTGGAGGCTGTTCTTGTTGTCAAGTTGCTATAATCAGATATCATCTCTTAGAAGGAGCCCAAGTCTCATGAGCCTTGCTCGTCACTGTGGCAATTATCTTTTTTCTGCATCAAGCCATTCTTTCTGTAGTTTTTTGGTTGGTAGCAGGAATGCCGTCAGTTGACCTATTGATTGTTTTTGTGTGTTGAAGCGCCCTGACATAGGACTTTAGATGTATTATATTGTAGCTTTTTATCAGCTTTTTGTAGTATGTTGTCATTTATTTTGTTGACCAAATAGATTACATAGATCACGGAATTCCATTCATGCAAAGTATCAACTCCAGTTTTACTTCCAGAAGCCAAATACAAGTTTTACTAATCTTGGCTGTTATATAAGATGTATATTTGTTTGGTGATTCAGTTGGCAGTATTATGAGGATTATAATGTGATTCTTCTGCTGATTTGTATGTTTATCAGTTTTTGGGCTACTTGAGCAGTGACAGGGGAGAGTTATCTGATTTTTCTACTAAGTATAGTGACTGAGTTGCTGCTCTGGAGGTTTGATATACTGATTGCAGTGTTGGCTCAGTACCTGATCAGTTTGTTTTGCTCTAGTATGGATTATGTATTAACATCCTTCAACCATATTATAAATGATAAAAAAAGACTTATTTATGTTGTTGGTTGATGGAATTATTGTTGATTATACTAATCAATGGGCAAACATTTAGAAACAGATCGTAAAGGCTTCCGAATATCAACCAGATGTGATTTGAGTTTGTTGTTATTTTTAAGTTATTCTTATAAGCTGTTTTGCGACTGTTGTGTGGGAGATATTTTATGGCTTTGGACTTATCAGTATTAAGCTTCATGCAATGAGTAAAAGAATTTTGCCAGCAAAGTGTGCTTGAATTTGACTGGATAGCGTGATTAGAAATGAACGATGGACAAGCTTGTGAATCTGCATTTTTCACTGACAGTGGTATTAGAGATAAAGGTATGATCCACTCTTTCCGAAGATGTTTAATTTTTACCTCTATGCAATTGAGCTTTGCATTTTCCCATCAAGTTGCAGTCACTTTGGCAGTTGTGGACATTGGACAGTCTGCATTTTTACCACTTTTTTTTCTAAGGAGAAGAAATATTTAGTATGTTTAGCTCCCAATTCATCAGCCTACATTTGGCATGTTCTCTTGCGTTTATAAAAAAAGTGTCTTGTTTGAAAGAAATTGTATGTTCTATTGACATTCAATAGTAAAGGTCACGTTGTGCAATGGGCAATCCTTTGAAGTTTATGTAGTGGGGTGATCGTGGAGCACCAGTTCAGTTTCATTCGTTATTTCAAAATAGGTCTCTCTCATTCGTAATTGTGATAAACGGTTGATGTTTTGATAAACACATATTTAGGTCCTCTGTTTTGTACCTTGCAAATTGTTATCTTCTTTATTTCTTGCAAATAGTAGCCTTAGCAGCGTGAAAAGGCCTGCCATGGTTGATTGATAGACAATAACTCTTGCTGGAGTTGTGTTGTGGTGCTGAATTGGGCATTTGATGCTCCCGACATTTGTGCTACTTGATTTTGTTGAATCACTGAGACATTTCGGTGCTAGCTAACATTTGGGAGTAAGTCATGTAAGAATGCTACCAACTCTTATATTATTTCTGTATTCACTTGTGTTGATTTCTGCATGTGATACTATTAATTTATGCAAGCCTTCTTTCATTTTTTTTTGTCCTATGCTTATTATGCTTGTTCTATCAATTTGCCTTAATGGTGTGTCTTTTTTATTTTATTTTTTCCGTTTTGCATGCCAAACCAACCAAAGTGTAGTGATATGTGATTTAGAGAGATCTCACTGATTTTATTACTTGAACTCTTTTTATGCTTTCTATGCTGTTTGTTGAGTGCTTTTGATAGTAAAGTTTGTTTGGATAAAAGTGATCAATTGAAGTTTTCACTGTTACGTTGTATTAAACTTCTGCTGTATTAATCTATTTATTCAGTTTAAGGGAAAATTGCTTTTTGTATTATATTGTTGGAAGGACGAAGCTTTTTCCTTTATACTTCTGACTGAATCTGGTTTGATTTGTGAGTCATTGTTTGATGAAATTTCCATGAAGGTAACCGTGCATTGCTTGATTGGTCTTGCTTCTAAATTTATTGGGTCTCAATGGTTATGATTAGCTTATTTTCATCAGGGCCTTAGCCTGTTGATGTTTATTTACTATACTATCTATTTGCCTTAAACTTGCATAATTTATGGAGTAAAAGTTCAAAATAGTCCCCCAACTATTGATAAATGTCTAATTTAGTCCTAGAGTTTCACATTGTCCCAATTTAGTCCCTCAACTATTAAAAATTGACAACCTAAATTAAGAGTTAAAGTTAAATCCAAAGTTATAAAGGATATTTTTGATACTACAAGTGGATATGAGATTGCACTGTTTATATTGTTCAATTTCATCATTTAATAAATTATAGTAGATATTTAATCAACTACATAATAAGAGTGAATAAATAGTGGAAAATATTTTTTTAAAGCAAAATCTAACATGATAAAAATGACAATTTTATATCATTTAAATATAATAAAAATATCACATGTAAATTTCATATAATTTAGTATATTAACAATTCGAATTAATTTGTGTTTTAATTTTAATTTACATTTTAAGTAAAAGTTACTTATTTTCTAATTTTTAATTACTGTCAATAAATTACAATTACAAAAATAATATAATTAGAAAATAATTTAATTATGAAATAACTTATTAATTTTAATTTTGATTATATTTTCAATTATTTATGTGTTAATTATTAATTATTAGTTTTAATTATCTTTATCAACTAACAATTATAAATAATATAATTAAGATCAAAGCAATTATCAATTAATCTAAGTAATTAATTATTTATTAATTACATCATACTCTTAATTAATTTTAATTAAAATAGTTAAACTAAATTAATTTGTTCATATGTTATTTCTCTCGCGATGCCTATTCTACTGTCTTACTGTAGTCGTAGGTTTGATTTTCCTTTTCTTCTACTGTTCATCGCTCTTCAAATTCGCATGCTTTGCGTGAGAAGTTGAGTTTTGAATGAGTCACTAAATAACTTCTTCGCCTCCTTCGACGATGTTCCTTTCTGTCGGCTACTTCGCCGTTCCTCTATAGGATTGGAAGTAACGACAGGAGCTTGCTTGTTGTGAAGGTAGTCATCTTTCTTCCTGTAGCCAAACATCCTCGCAGGGTGTCTCGCTCGCAGTGCATCGTCTGTCTCGCAGCCGCAGATGAATCTATAATGCGAATTGAAGCACGTCGCAATGCGTATCACTCGCGGCTTGCTCGCTCACATCGTCTAGTTTGTAGCTTCTCCCTCGCTCAATTCAATCTCTAGGGCTTATAGCATGAAGACGAACAAGCATGTAACAAGTAATTTTACCTAAATACCTAGAAAGAACCTAAGCTCTAGCTTTTTCCATTAATTTAAACAATAAATTTAACCCATAGACAAAATTGGATAACTTTTAATAGTTGAGGGATCAAATTGGGGCAATACGAAACTCTGAGACTAATTTGAGCATTTATCAAAAGTCAGGGGATTATTTCAAGCTTTTACTCATAATTTATCAATCCATTTTTACCATTACTCAGTGGATGAAGTTGTAATTTTGTTACTTTAACATGACCAGTATTTTCAATGCTTAATAAGTTACTTTTTCCATAATAGGCTGATTTCGTTTAGTTGGGTGCACTTTGATATTGATGATTTGAATCTCTTTCGCGCACATTCAAGGTTTCTTAAATGTGGTGATTTTTTTTCTTCCGTAGATAGAATGAGTGTAAACAAAATAACCATCTTTTAAAACATGCTTACTATTTACAATCGATCAAATGAGCCCTTGGGAGGTCGATGGAGTTTTAAACAAACGTTGGTTCTTAATTATGGAACAAAGGGATGGAATTAAACTAATTCATATTTATATAACTCTTGCTTTGCATTTGCAGGAAACCAAATGGGTTCTAACTGTAGGGTAAAACATTGGTAAAAGTGTCGATCTTTAAATTTGGCTGCAGGTGTTTGCAATCTAATTTTGATTTTTACCATCAATGTAAAATTTGTCATCCATTTTTATGACCATTCCAATATAACATGGAAAATCCATTAAAACAAAACTTCTTTATGTGATGATATATATTTTAATATTTTGTACTAACGAGCTTTCTGCCTAAATTTAACTTTACTGATATGTCTTCATCTAGTATGTGTGTGTAGCATAAGCATGTGGTTGTTAAAAAAAAACAGGCATATGTAGCGTGCAGCTTTACCATAGAGTAGTCTGTCTCCTTCTTGATTACTTGGGATTGGTAGTCTTTGATACAAAACTTTTGTCATCTTTGTTCTTTTATATTCCATTTGCTTGGTTGGTGCTGCTTTGTATGCTTCTGGTGGAATGAGCATGTAGCCTCTCATTAGGACATCTCTTGTCAACCAGAATGTACAGGGAACTGTTTCTGAGACCTTTTAAAAAATAATAGTTAGACCATATACTGTATTGCATGCCACTTTTGATCTATGTTGCACCGATACACGGATACGCCTCCGATATGGCACCGATACGTGTCTGATACGACTTTGTTGTATCTAATTAAAATACTATTTAATTTAAAAAGGACACGTGTCTGTTGAAAAAACAAAAAAAAATTCCGAAAAAAAACTTGTCGCATTTACTTCCGCAGTTGCAAGCGAGTTTCTCTCATTTCCGAGATGGATTTGAGTCTCTTGATGATATGGAAATATTATAAATTGCTAATCTTTCACTTGATGCACCTAAATTAGAAGCTGTGATATTTATTGAAGATGATATAGAAGTTCAAAGACAAACCACTTATGAAGCTAATCATATCATTCCTTCTATTGAATAGTTGAAACTTCATGTGCTAGACAATTTATGTTTATGCTTATGTTGTTGTACTAGACATTTAACATTTACTTTTATTTTGATATTATAAGATACAAGGCTACAAATGATGTTACTTTCATATATTTTTTTTTTATAATTTCAAATGTTATGCTTTGATTGCTTTTTTAATTTTTATGTATGATTTATAAATTATAATACCGTGTCCGCGCCGTACCCGTATCCTATATTTTTAAGAATTGACGTATCATGTATCCGTATCGTGTCGTATCCGTGCGCCGTATCCGTATCGGTGCGACATAGCTTTTGATCCTTTCTTTACATTGTTTTGGTCTTTCTTTTTCTTATGTGGTTTAGACATTCGTTTTTTGTTGTTTATGTTTTGCTTTGTTATTGAAGAAACTTTTAAAATTCAGCAAGCACTGCAATATAATTGGTTTATTTAGATGGTATTTGTATTTGTACATGCCAAGTGCTTTTATTGTTTATTGGCCGTTTTTTTATTAGTTTTACGATGAAGCAAGGAGTTGTTTATCATCCACATTTTCCACAATAAGTTTCAAATTTTTGGACGCAGTTGAAAATTTAATACAATGTAAATTTCTTTTCAGTCTTCTATTACAAAATTTTTGATATTCTTGTTCTTTTCTTTTATATTTAGGGAATAAACACACTTCATTTTACTGAATATTTTTTATTTGCATCATTAGCAATAATCTTCGCAGTAAATTGCAAATAATTTCTCTTTCTGATTCGCACAGTGATCTCTCACATCATCAAAATAAAAACAAAAACCAGTTTTTTTAAGCTGATCATGATGATGATGCTTTGTAGATTATGGTGGAAAGGGATACAGGGCGACCTCGTGGATTTGGCTTTGTGACTTTTTCTGATAAACGTGCGGTGGAGGATGCTATTAGGGAGATGCACAACAAGGAATTTGGTGGTCGGCAAATTTCAGTCAACAAGGCCGAGCCAAAGGTGTCTTCGGATGATACAGGTTATGGCTATGGTGGTGGCGGTTATTCGTCCGGCGGCCGGGGAGGTTATCGTGGAAATGCCGATGATTCACTACCAGTTGGCCGGTCCGAGTGTTTCAAGTGCGGGCGTTCAGGCCATTGGGCTCGCGAATGCACTTCTGGTGGTGGTGGACGGTTCTCGTCTCGTTCCCGGATCGGTGGAGGCAGCGACAGCCGTGGAGACAGATTTGGAGGTGGCGGCGGTCGCAATAACGACCGTTATTCCAATGATAGGCATGATGGAGCCCGCCACGATGGCGGGCGACACGATGGAACTCGTTTTGCAGGCCGTGACCGTTTCGACGGCAAAGATAGTAGATACAATGGTGGTCGTGATCGTTATTCGCCTGCTGGTGACAGGTATGGCAGTGGACCTGACAGGTACCCATCCAATGGATACAACAAAGAAAGGAGCTTTGATAGAGATGGAGGCGGCCGTGGTGGTGGCAGCAGTGACAGGTATGATGGCGGCGGACCTACACGATATAACAGTGGCAGTAGCTATCGAGAGAGGCCTGGGCCATATGATCGACCCAGCAAAGGCAGCCGTCCTTCATCCTTCGACGACCGGTACTAAGGCTTCTTTTGGGACGGCTTTCTTACTGCTTTTTAAAGCAGCTTTCTAGTATACAAATTTTAATTTTTAAACTAGAAAGTCTTTTTAAGAAGCAATAAAAAAGTCGTCACAAATGAAAGCCTAAACCCCACTTATGTTTCGTGACCGCTCTCTGCTTTTACTTCATTTTTGCTAGTAGTTAATGTATGCTTGTAGGAGGCTCAAAAAACTTCCGTTTTGTAGCAGAAAAGATGTATTTTTCTATGCTGAAGTCCATTATTCTGCGATCTCAAGCAATTATTATGGATTTTGCTCATTATATTGATTTGTTTCTGCTAGAATAGCCTATTATCTTAGATCAACTAATGCAATTGGAGAACATTTAGCTTCTGAATCTGATATAAGAATGTTTCAATCTGTTTGTCTATTCATTCTCTGATATCAAAATTTATTTTAGTGCTTGATCTTCTGTACTTTATTTGTAATATGCTTTTGATACGTTGATTATTATATGTTTTAATTATTAAAAAAAATTGGACGTGTTTTTGATTAAAAAAGGTGCTATACTCCTGGAAAAAAAGCTATGAAGAAAAATAAATTCATATTATGTTTAATATGGCAAAATAAAAATTTATATGTTAAATAATATTGTTTTTAATTATTAAATCAAAATTAAATTTTTGTATTTAAATGAAATATGTTATATTTTAATAAAATATGTTTTATGATAAAAATTATTTTACATTAAAAGTTTAAATTAAATAATAAGGTATAATATTTTTTTATTCTAATATGATATTTTGCATCTATAAATGTTATTATATGAATGTAAAATATTATGTTTGGATTAGACGTATAAATTTGTGATGAGTTGAGTTGAGTATGGTTTTGCTCACTTACACATTTACTCCTAATTTGAATTATATATCTCATAATTTAATAACAATTTATATATTAGATAAAAAATAATATCTATAATAATATTATTAATAATATGGTGCAAATATTTGAGATATTGCATTAGCAAAAAGTTGTAGTTTGACATTTAAATTATTTATATATACATATAAGAATTAAATAAGTAATGATGTATTATATAAATAATTAATATAAAAATTTTCAAAAATGTTTTAAATCTAAATTTAATATAAATTAATTTTTAGGATAAAATAATATATATTTTTGAATTTTTTAAAATAATTTAAATATCCTAAATTATTTATATATAGAAATTTGCCTTTATATTACAACATTGTATAAGAATTGTAACAGTACGACCAGCTTTCAGCCATACAAAATTAAATAAACGGTAAAGAAACCGTCATATCTTACAAATCTACTCTGGTCATTGGATAGGATCGTAGTCCAGTTTAGAATCTTGCACTCTTATAACCTACTTGATCTCGACATTTTCTCCCCATCTTTACCACTGCATCACTCTCTTCTCCCTCTCGCTCTCTTCTGATCTTCTCTCTGGCAGCCACTTCTGGAGCTCGGCAATGGCAGTCAAGGGGAAGGGGAAGCAGATAGCCGGAAAGTCTCCGGCATCCTCTGCATCTTCTTCCGGGAAAAGAAGGCGCACTCGCGCGGACGGAGAGAGTTCCGGTGCTCCTCCTCCGAAGAAGCCATCCGGCGTGCTCCAGTTCGTCGATGATACTGCCGCGGATGCAGATTTTGAAGGAGAGGAAGATGAAGATGAACTCGATTGGGAAATCGATGACGATTTTGATTTTGGTATTTGGTTGCATTCCCTAGGGTTCTAGTGCCGACGCTTTCTTTAAATCGGCGGCGATCTACTTCATCTTGTTTTTATGTTGTCTAACATGCATGTGGATGTAAAGTTTGGACGTTTTAGGGTTCTTGCTGGCATGGAGGACTTTGCTGGAGTTGTTGGTGGATGTAGTTATTCTTTAGGTTTGAATGTGGATCATATGCTCATGCCTCCATGGTTTAGGTACCCATGGCCGGAATTGTGGATGTCAATGACGGTTGTAACTTAATACTGTTTACATAGCTTGATTATAACTTCCTTATTTGTAGATTACCAGATGCTGGAAGTTTCTTTTGCTTGGGATATATGAATGCTTTTTAGCTTAGAGTTTTTTTTTTTCTGCTCTGTCACTGTTTGTATGTTGACATGAGAAACTTCATGCATCCAGCTTTGTTTTGATTCAGAGATATTTAACTAAGATTTTTTTTCTAATTTATGATTCTTTCTGATAAATATTACATTTCAATCGTTGGCTTCGTCCTTGTATATGATAAAAGTAAAAGCTGGGAAGTGGGGGCTATTGCTGTACTTGGTCCATTTTTGTCTATTACGTTCATTTGGGTATCCATGTGTTGTTTCGAACTATGGGATTTTCTGTTTTGTAATTTGTAATGCTTTGGGTTATTAAGGTTTATTTACTGGCATAATCTTCCTTGCAAATTTTATTCGAAACTGCTTTGTTTTTTTATTTTTGCTAACTTGGAATTTAGAAAGATCTTTATCATTTTAAATAACATTTGTGGTGTTATTTGCCTATTTTGTTGGATATGCAGCTGCTATTTAGCATGACATTTAGTTTATAACCTTTCAAATGTTGTTTGCATTGAATCCATGTCATGATTTGCTGATGGACACAGATTTAGATGGAGTGAAGAAGACGCCTTTATGGATTTTTTTTTTTATTGCATGAGTTTAGTCTTTATGTGTATCCTATGATTTTTATGTGTAGATTAGAGCAGGCGTATTACTTTGCTACTTACCTATGTTTTTTCCACGTCTTAGTTTATTCCATCTGTTTTGTGTGTCCACAATTGTGTATATGTCGAAATAGTTTATAGCGACCCTTGGGGTTATTTGCTTTGAAATGATTTGGGGAAATTAAAATGCATTTTACTTAACAATTTCATTTGGGTATTTTCTTTCAATGTAACTGACAGGCAATTGTTTTTACCTAAGAAATGTGTATAAATGCATTTTTCCATTAGCAATTTCATACCCAACAATAAAAAAAATCCAGTTATCACTCTGAGTCAAAAGTGCTATTTTGATAGAGGAATAAATGAATTTCTCATCAGCCAAAAAATGAACAAAAAAAAGATACGTTTCTCTTCAAACAAACATGTTGAAAAATAATTTTAACTGAATCCCTTAATTATTTCCATTTATATTTCACAATTTTTCAGTTCCTTTTATACAAATAGAGCCTAAGGATTCGTTTGGGACGACTTTTTTACAGCTTCTTGAAGTAGCTTTTTAGTATAAAAATTAATTTTTTTTACTAGAAAGCTGCTTCAAGAAGCAATAAAAAAGTCATCTCAAACGAAGCCTAAGTTTTTGGTCTCTTTGGTCACTAATACTTGTGAAAAATCTTTGGCTTTTTGTTTTCATTTCTATTTCTCTGTTATGCCATGTATGTATGTATTGCTTTTGGATTAAATACCTGTCTATTTAATTGATAAGTTTGATCTAACATGTAAAATGTTGTTTTGAAATTATGTTGAATCCTACTTTTCAGAGTCAGGCTCGTAGTTTAAAATTTTCTTGTATCTTAAATTCTTAATTAAAAAAAGTATCTTGGTTTGTTTACTTATAGGTAATTCTCAATATAATAAAATTTTCCGCATTTATTTAACCTTTCCTGATTTGCTTTGTAATCTTTTTTTCCAATGTGCAATTGTTTACATGCTTTAGGCACAAATATAATATTGTACAATGTGGTCAGAGATTATGAATGAACTTGTTTTGCGTAATACTCAGCATGGTTCGACAAATTTAATGTAGTGGATCTATCTGATGTCTGATTGTCTTTTATGGGCAGAGTTGCCTGATATTGGTACAAAAGAGTTAAAGAATGTGACGAGAGGACCTGGAAAGTCCAGTCCAGTCCCTTTTTTTATCAAGGAGGAAGAGATGAATGATGACGAACTTGAAGAAGCTATCAAGGAGCGGTACGGTGGTTCAGGGTTTGTTTCATTTGATGAGGATGTTAAAGAGTGTGATCAGTCTTTATTGGTAGCTCGTGCTACAAAAGATCTCTCTGTTTGGCGGGTTAAATGCATGGTTTGGACTGTCTAAACCTTTGAATATTCTCCCATATTCTCTCATTTATTTTAAATTCTGTACTGACTCTCCTTGGGTTTTATTTATTGTAGATGGGGCGAGAAAGGCAAGCTGCCTTTTGCTTAATGCAGAAATTTGTTGACTTGCAAAAAATTGGAAAGAAGCTGCAGATATTTTCAGTATTTTCTCTTGATCATGTAAAAGGTTTTTTTTATGTTGAAGCCGACAGAGCCTGCAATGTTTTTGAGGTAATCATGCTGCCATTTATTTACCGGTTGTTCAAGTCTTAATTATTATAGTTTATTCTATGTTTAGTTATTGTTGGGTGCATTTTTTTGCTTGCTTGATCTTATGGACCACAATAAGCAGGTGGATATACCATAATTGATCATTTGGGGAGGCATCAGTATTAGCTTTTAATCAGTTGTCTGCAATAAACTTAAAGCCATGGTCTGAAATATAAGTCAAAGAAATCATCGTATTCTGCTTGGTTTCTTTTGATAACAGTTTGATCATGCCAATGCTAGTTTATTCACGTTAACTTTATTGTAGTATTCTGCATGAAATCTCTTTTGGGCGCAAAAGGCCTACTGTTTGACAATAAAGTATGCCTTTTAAACTCATTGTGATGTCTATGATCACATAAGTAATTTGTCGGACAAAGTATGGTAGTACAGTAAAATTTGCACATGGTGTTGGACAACTCTCGCAAAATAAGTATTTATTTTACATGAGCGTAGTGTTGTATATGCAGATGTCAAAGCTATACAGGTGTGCATGCAATGTAGAGACTTGCACATATGCTCAGAAGTCTGTTTCCCATTTGATGCTTGAACTTCTGAAATTATTGCTTTTGGCTAGAGCGCATATTCATACTCTTCCTTTTGGCTGGTGATCATTGCTTAAGTCCCTTTAGATTGATGTTTGCTATACTAGTTTTCACTTCCATATCTTTAGATTTTAACTTAAATCTCTTCCCTTTTAGTTTGTTGTATCCTATTGAAAATCTTAGAATTTTGGCTGACTATAGCAATACATTCTTGAACTCCATGGTACCTTTCGCATTTTAATAAGAGGCTTAGACATTTGGGAGGAAAAAATGTGCCATAGACTAGAATCAGCATAAGAGTTAAGCTATTGTCATAGTAACAATTTGGCCGAATGAACAATGAATTTGAGGATTCAACAAGCTGACCTGACCTCGATTTGTTGGTATTAGGCTAATGATGGTGATTGTGATAATGATGATCTTAAGGAGTGTATACTTACAGCTGAAAGCCAGCTTAGCGGTCATCTTTTAAGAAATAATATAGCGTACACAAAGAAGCGTGCATGTTAAAATGGATAGTGCCTCAATGCTTAATATGCTATCATTAGAGTTATTGTCCATCCTCGATGATTTATGCAAGTAGGGGTATGGAGCCTATCTGCTTTTCCTTTTCTGAGGGAATAGGGTGAAGTTTCACCACTAAATCTTAAAATCTTTAATTTTGAGACCTTATCCATTCTAGTAGTAGCTGTGTAAACTTTTCTGTCAGGCATCAATAGTGAATTGGCAGTTTGACTTAAAAAATATTGTATAGTGCTAAAATATCTTTATAAACTGTTCAATTGTTAAGGCTTTCCATTCAATTTTCTTCTTATGAAGAAATTCAGAATTTTCATTTCCTTTTTCTTCCGAATATTCTTCTTTATCATGTACCATACTTGATAGTAATTATTTAAAATTCTTTTCCATATAGCTACGCACTTTATATGTAATCTATGATTTCTAATACCTGTCTATGCGTTAGCAAACTCTTATCTAGCCAATGTTGTTGTTGATGAATAATGATCATGTGCTGTTTATATTACATGAAACTATATATATGTGTATGATGTAAACAACGTTTAATGGCCAAAGTTTTTCACTTCAGGCATGCAACGGGTTGTGCATTCTGTACCCAAGTAGAATAGAGCTTGTCCCAAGGAATGAAGCCCCTAATTTACTTTCTATTCAAAGGAAGGCATGTGGGATCGTTAAGGGTATGTGGGTTCGAATGAAGAATGGAAAGTATAAGGGTGATCTTGCGGAGGTAACAGAATATTTGAGCTCATTTAATTGATTTCCTTTTTCCGTACATTTCATTTCACATCTTCACTTGCTTCTCTTCAATTTCACGGATATTATTTCATTTCAACAGGTAGTGTTAGTGAATGATGCAAAGAAAAGGGTGACCATTAAACTGGTCCCTAGAATTGATCTTCAAGCAATTTCCAAAAAATTTGTAAGTACAATTTAGCAGTTTTCTGCCTCTTTGCTCACTATAGTTTTGTTCATTTGGGCCCATATTTTATTTTACGTGCTTTTCATGTGATACTAATTTCTGCTAACGTTAACTAGATAGATTTTGTTATTAAATATGGTTTATTTTGAGATTATTTTATTATCATTATGTGTTTTGTTAAATGTCGTTGGCATGATATTAGGGCTATATCTTAAGCTGCCTGAAATTTAATATTGATGCATGCAAAATGTTGATTCTCAATGAAAGGCATATGTGAAGATATGAGATTGATTGATAGATCTACATTGCTATGAGTAGTATCTTAATAACTGGCTTGCCTTTCAGATTCTTCTCTGGTTTGTACCCATCCTGCATGGGTGCAATGTTGAGGCGATAGTTTTGTTAAATACACTGAAATATTTAAATGCTAACAGATATTTAGTTTGTATTGATGCATGCAAAATGCAAATTATAGTCGTATATTATACTAAATGATTATCTTGTTTGGTTAGCTACATAAATGATAATTTTCACATGAATTTTTTTATTTTCTTCTTTTTCATATGAACTAAGCCAGCATTTTTTTCCATCTTAATTTAATCATATCCATGCTTTGTTATTTAATATTTAATCTGATGCATCTCAAAGTACAATGAGAAATAAACTGCTTTTTTTCCCTGTTTTTCCTTATACTAGGGTAAGTCATCCATCTTTAAGCATAACTTTTCGGTAATATCATTCAGGCATCTGATTTATCTATTACATCAAAAGTACATTTGAGATTGGATGATTATTTTTTCTATTACTTATGTCTATATTCTTCAAGGGTGGGGGCACATCTCTGAAGGCTGCTGCTATACCAGCTCCACGACTGATAAGCTCCCATGAACTAGAGTACATTTATATGTTCCCTTTTGTTTTGATTCCTTTTGCTTGGACACCTGATGCAAGTCTTCTCATTGGCATTTCTGAATATTGTCATTCAACAGAGACTTCAGACCTCATATAGAGGTTAGGCGTGATCGTGAAACTGGGGAGATTTTTGAGGTCCTTGATGGCTTAATGCTTAAAGATGGTTACCTATATAAAAAGGTATCGATGGGTTCACTAATTCACTGGGGTGTACAACCTACAAGTGATGAACTTATGAAGTTTGAGGAGTTGGATAAAGATGAAGTTAAAGATGTTGACTGGCTTTCAAGTATTTATAAAGCACGAATGAAAAAGAAGTTACCTGAAACATCCCATCAGAAGAATGGAGAAAAATATAATCAGAAGGATGGAGAAAAATCCAATCCGAAGGTTGGAGAAAAATCTAATCAGAAGGATGCAGATAAACAGATAAATGGTTTTGATATAGATGATCTCGTGCTATTTGGGTTAGTCATTTTCTGTAATTTTCAGGGGTTGCTGATTAAGAAGTAATGTGTTAATCACTTAATCAGTACTTTTTTTTTTCATGTTTTTGCTTGCAGGAAGAAAAGCTGTGGCATAATAATAGACAAGGAAAATGACACCTTCAAGGTAGCTAGATTGACCAATATGTTTCTTTTGTGTTTCTGTGGGGAATTTCTGATAATATTTATTTCATCAGGTTTTGAAAGGTGACGTGAATGGCTCTGAGGTCGTGAGTATTAATATTCGAGTAATAAAGAAAATCTGTGTGGATAAAGTTTTCACAGCAACAGATCGCTGCATGAAGACAATATCTATCGATGATGTTGTGAAGGTTTTTGAAGGGCCTCTAGAGGTAGCTTATGATGTTGTGTGCTTGTTTGCTTCCCTTTGATATTATTGCTTTCTTCTGTTTTGCTTGATGACTTTTATTTTTAAGCTGTTGCCTTTAGCTAATGACATTTTATGAGTAATTTTAACTTGACCCATTTTTTGGTTGGGACTTCTCTCCATTGTTTCTCTATTTCTGAGTTTTGGTTGACAGTTTGCACTTGATCAAGCTTGAGAGGTTGATACTTACTAATTAGGTAAATGACCAAAATTATCCCGAGGCTTTTTTAGTTCGTCTATATTAGTTGTCGATTTTTTAGGCGTTACATTTAATACCTCAGCTTATCAAATGTGAACAAATATGATATTCTCATCCTCCCATCAATTTTTCCATTTCTTTGGACACCATTCTATTGATTGAATCCATGAGGCTGAACTATGAACCTATTTTAGCCCAAGTTAGGGGTGGCTCAAAATCGAATTAATTGAAATTAAAGTTGATCGAGAACGGAATGTGGATAAATCAAAATTGAATTTGAGGCGGCTCATATATATATATATATATATATATATCTGTGTGTGTGTGTATAATAATTGATAAGTTGGATATAATTTGATTTACAAATTTTAGACTAATTATTAGTCCAAATATCAATCATTCTTCTAATTACACACATTTACATTTGTAATACATTATACTTCTAGTTATACAATATCAATCCACACAAGCAATAAGCTAAGTTTGCATTATAGGTCTTCCAAGTCCAGGTCAAGGTCTACATTTTTTCATTCTATGTGAAATCTTAAAGTTTATGAAACATCAATTTTTAAGAAAAGTAAGTTGTTTTAATAAAAAAAGTTATTACATAAATATTAAGATGTTAATTCGTAAGTATAGTGCCCTTAGGGAATTTGAGATGATTAATGTTGCGGGATGACATTTAAAAAATTAAAATTGCAAAAATATAGCTATCTTTAACAAACGAAAGCCATTCTCCACATTCTAGAAAAGTTGAAACACAGCAAGGCAACAAACTTCATGATAGATCCCAAGCTCTTAGCAATAGTATGGCAACAAAGTCGAAACAGAACAGTAACTAGTAAGGATAGTAAATTAGCCAATATAAGAAACTCCATCATCTTAAACAAATCTCAGCAAGTAGCAAAAATTGATATTAGAGAGGGAAAAATGTGGCCTTGAAGATTCATTGGCGGAATGATTGTAAATTATCCTTTCACAAAATGCCACTTGTGGTTGTACTTTTCATTTCATGCCTTCAGTTTATATCATTTAATTTTCATCATCAAGCATATAATCCAACATCCAAATGATAATATAACATTTAATTAATGGAAATTTCTAATTAACAACAAGCAATTATGAAGAAATTAGCATTCCAAGTAGTAACTATTATCCCAATTTTGATATAGTGAACTCTAATTGATGATTGAAGGACGAATAATAAAATGAGAAACATTCAGTCACAAAACTAATAAGCAATAATGTAGTAATGCAGGATATTATGGCCAGGTAACTTGCTTGAGTTTAAAATAGTATAAATAGTAACAATCTTGACTAACCATTCCATGGGTCGCAAGTACATAAAAGAACTACTCTTTTGAATGTGGGATTTAATAGTCAAATTTTCAGGAACACTAACTGAGAAGTTCTCTTTAACCAGAATGACTCACTGAAATAGAAATTAGATAAATTTTTTCTTGTGACAAAATTAAATATTATAGATTTGTTGCGATAAGAATTTGATAAGGTGATCAGGAATCTTACTGTTGGTTCTTTTGATGTGTTGTAAACTTGTCAAATCCAATTTTCAACATAAATCAGTGCATAAAGTGTTTTTATTGAAATAGATCTTTTATATTCACCATGGACATGATCGTTGACATTGAATCTATTGTTGTGATGGGTATGTTGAAAGCATTGTTTTCAGTTTTGGAAGAGTTTTGTACTTTATGAATAACATTTTTCATCATTTTAATGTATCAAATTCATAATCTTCGCACTTGGTACAACCTCCATTGAAGTACACATTCAAGTCAGATTTTTGGGCTATTGAAGTCACACTAGAGTCTATGATCATACAACCAACAATAACATCAATGAAACCAAGGCTGCTTCTTTGCCTTTTCATTGATGTGCCAGCTTGAGTAGTAGACGGTTCATTAATGTCCCTCCCAACATGATGCTTCTCGACAACATAAAATGAATAGATTTCATAAGAATTTGTGGTGCGCTTTCAAGCTTCTCTGTGACAATTGAAACATTATAAATTTTTGGATGATAATAATTTGATGCAAAACACTTTTACCCAAGGGTTTAAAAGCATGCAAGTGATAGAACAAGCTAACCAATATTTATCAATTTTAACTTTCATGATGTTTGCCATATTAGAAGTAAAAGTAATGATAGACATGCATTCCCTATCCTAAGTATTCATCAAAATTAAGTGGGAAGAAACTTATTATTATAGTGTTACTTGTACCTGAATTTTTTCCTTCATGTCCTTGGCATTTGGATAAAGTATTTTGCTTCTTTTCCCAATCATCTATTGTACTGTTATGATTAGTCTTAAAATGCTTATTTCTATGATATTTGATACTACTTTTTGTTTTACGTATGACTTAGCACAAGAATTATACTTTCATTTTTCAATGGTTTTTCTTTTTTCTATAACGGAAATTTGATTGAAATGCTTCCACACTTTTGATCACCCTCGTCTCTTCTATAAAAGTAACTCTCCCACACTTTCACTCAAATTAGTTGTATTGTTTGTTGGAGGTAACTTAGACTAATGCTAAATTGATGTTGAGCAGGTAAACATTGCTTCCAAGAGAAATTGGATGATTGAAGTTAATAATTCCTCATCTAAAGGATTAAAGACAACGGGAAATTGAAGGACTGAATGAAACAGAAAAGTTATGGGTATTTATTATGTTTCTCGTAATAGAGTCATTCAAGCAAGATGCAAATGAAACTAAACTTCGAAGATAGAAATGTATGATTTGTCTCATATCATATCTCGGGAGCAATTTGATAGAAAAAAATAATCACAACTGACTTTTATCTCGATCAACTAGCAAACCTATATATAAATAATTAACATAATGCATCTAAATCTCAGGCTCTCAACTTCTCATTTATAGGAATCATTGCAACGATTAGCAAATGTATGATGTATCTCAAGAACAGGAATTATTATAGCAAAATAAAGATTCAATTTGTATCACAAGATTTAAAATGCAGAGACCATGTGTGAATCGTCATAATAGTTTTTAAAACCAGGTATACAAAGGCGGAGGTGCACACAAAGCAACTTCTTATTGAGCTAAACCCCGCTAGCGATGACAAATGGTTGATGGCCACATTAGTGATAAGTGAGGCGAGAAAGTAAGAGTGAAGAAATAATAAGAAATTTATTACAACACATGTTAAGAGTGATTCGACCAACCCAAAGTGGTCAGATAAAGGATTGTTATTGTTGTACATTTAGGAGCGATTCATGTACTCGAGCAACCAAATTTAAAAAAAATGTCAAAAAGAGATTCAAGTGTATTGTGATGAGTACACTTGCTAGTTTATGTCTCCTTGATGGGGAGAAGTAGACGAGGTACAAGATAAAATGGCACTTATACTCGATAATGTCTTGAAGAGGAGATTGACAAAGAGAAGAGAGTAATATTTAGTTAAAAGAGAGCCGAAATTGCGGGAAATGAGATGAGTGGGGAGGTCAAGCTTGGGCTACGATAGTGATAGTGTAATATAGGATGAGGATAAGAGTGAGTGTTATGATCTGAGCCATTCAAGTTTGGTTAAATGACAAATGGCTAAAAATTTTTTGAGGATTGCAGGTTTGGAACCCAAACCTCTCGATTTGACCATACCATGGCATAGGCCACTTAGCCTACCAAACTTTCTATCAATATATGGTTATACTAACTTATATATAAAGTTATAACTAGTTTTATTTTCAAAATATTAATTTTCGATTTGATTTTGATCTATGGCTCAAAATCAGTTTGAAAATAAGTTTGATCCAAATTTTTGGCTCATGGCTTGGCTCCTTGTTTTGACTTGAGCTCAATTTTAAAAATCACATTGATTTTTAAGCTATCAGCGATATTCTAGCTAAACTCTTGGCCTTACAAGAGCACATTTTGAATTTTTTTTAAGCTTAGATTCAATAAGTTGAGTTGCAATATTGAATACTTCGAAAAGTTTGGACTAAAATGGATACACCAAAAATCTCTAGGGACCTTTTTGGTTTCTTCTTATTAATTTTCTGAAGAATATCAATATAATCTTATTCAGACAATGAAGTTGCAAACTTTTCCCAGTCATTTTCATTGTATTGCTTCAGAATTCAGTTGTTTGCTCCCACCATGCATTATAGTGCGCTTCTATTCAGTTACAGTTTAGATTCATTTGGCAAATCAATAGCTGAATTTCCATTAATTAGGTTAAAGTTTGTGAAAGCTCAAGTTGTGTCCATGATTTGTTTTTTCTTCTGAACACTAGTGGTTTTCCTGTTTACTTCCCTGAAGTGTTTTTGTCGCAGACTTTCCAATCTTTTTGCAGTGATAAATTTGCCTTAGGTTGTTAATCTGATTATATATACTATCGTTTAATTTGCTCTTTTTCCAGGGTAGAGAGGGAATTGTTAGGCACATGTACAAAGGTGTTCTTTTTATATATGATGAATGCCAAAGCGAAAACAATGGGTTCTTTTGTGCCAATTCAGGGATATGTGATCTAGTGAAGAAATCACGGGATCTTGGTGGTGGAAAATTGGTATTATTTTCTAAATCAGTTGTTGTGGTTTTGGTGGAGGGTCACTATTATCTCATGCTGTTCTGTTTCGGCAGAGTACCAGAGCAGGCCCCTCATTTGCTCAGTCGCCAATCAGATTGTCCGAGCAGGATGACAATTCTCAAAGCTGTATGCATTATAGTGTTTGCGTAAATACTAAAATGTCTTATTAATGAGCTTCTAATTTATAATTGGTAAATCAGTTTCCAGAAATCAACAAAGCAATTCCCTTGGAACTTTCTCTGTCGGACAGACATTGAGAATTCGCAAAGGGCCACTAAAGGGTTATCTTTGCCGTGTTATTCGGATGCGCCGTGCTGATATCACAGTCAAACTCGATTCTCTTGGGAAGCTTCTTACAGGTTTTTTTGCCCCAAAAATACATTATTTCAAACTTTGCTCTCTTTTTTGTTCAATTTATAGTTTGGTACATATGTGCAGTTGATGAAAAGTTGCTATCTTTACCAAATTCAAAGAGGTATTTTGTGGCACTTGCTTTTTGAATAAACATGCTTAGCCGTTGTTCCTTCTCATTGATTGATATATTTTAATCATTATACTGTTAATATTTCAAATTCTGATGCTTTTCTAAGCTGGAATTTTTCTAGGGATGATGCTACTGCCATGCAATGCAACATGTTTGGATCTCAAGAAGACCAATCGACAGGTGGGTTCTTATTATGTAAATTTACCTTCTGATGTGGTAAAAATGGAGTTCCTGTTCAGATGTTATTTAGCTAAGCGCATGTTGCTTGAAATTTATGATGCATGCCCCTTTTGTATTTGTTGAAAAGTTGAAGAACTTTACTTTACTACTGAGAATACTTGATGAGTATAACTTCAGCAAGTGTTATCCTTTAGCAGATCCTTCTCACACAAAATTTAAGTCTTCTTGAACAATTCTTTGTGGTGTAAATCCATTGGAATTATGATTGTGAACGGAAATATGGACGTGTATTGGAATCTAAATTCATTGTCTATGAATTTCAAAAATATGTGGCACTTGTAGAAAGCCTTGAAATTTTATAATGATTTTTTTCCAGTAAAATAATCTTTTGATATTTTAGTGTAGGGGCCTTGAAAAATGGGAGTAACCTGTATGTAGTAATAGTTTATATTGTGGCTAGATGGTTTTTTTTCCAATGCAAAGATCCTTTTTTCTTTTCTTCCTGTCAAAGGGAATTAATATTTCAATTCTAATCCAGAAAATTCCATATTTGATTCTGAAGAAATTTTCTGTAATAACATGTTTTATAATTGATTCTATGATAATCGTTTAATTAAATCCAAAAAACTAAGATAGTGATGCATATCAAATTTGAATGGTATTATTATTTTTATGCTAATTCTGTATGTTTGTATGAATATTGTCCAATTTTGTGATGTTGTTATCTTGGTGCTATTGGATACGTTCTCAATGTTTAAGATGGCTTGCTGGATGCGGGAGGAGGATTAGGGATGGATAACTTTGAGTTTAATGCTGGGATGTCATCATTTGGAAGGTACATACTAGAATTTTACATGGTTCAAGCTTCTTGCATGGAATCCATGCATTTTATTTATGTTATCCAAATAATGGTTTACTACTCATTTTAAATTTTAATGTTTCAAATGTAGCTGTAAGCTATGCCTTCTCTGTTTTTTCGTGATTGCAAATGTAGCTTATGAAGGTTGATGCATTACTTTCTGCAAATTCAGTAATAATTACAAGCAATTAAGTGATACTGGAACGAGGCCACTAACACTAAATCCTGAGAGATTTTGTTTCCATATGATAAAATTAAGAACGTGAGACTTAATTTATTATGTTTTGAGAAATCCTGTATTTTCTTAGTTCTTCCATGTGTACTGCAGGGATTCCTGGAATACAGCTTCCTGTTCTAGCTTCTCATTTCCTAGGGAAAATGATAGCAAAGGTGTGATATATTATTTAATGATTTAAAGAATTTTGTTATGCCTAGTTTTATCACAAGTTCTCCAAGTACTCTTTTTTTGGATGAGTAATGCTTGTGCGCTCACGGATTGCCTTAAAATGTTGTTCGGGTTTGTTTACCGTTAGGTTTTTTTTACATGTAACATAAGCACAATGGAGTAATGGCTTATATTGTTTTTTCTGGAAAAGATTATTAGTCAATGGGGACATGTATGAATGCAGTCTTTATTGAAAAAAGAAGAAGAAGAAGAGCATATGAACTAAGACTTTAGTCAATTATATGTGAAAACTGATAAGTTCATTCTTCAATAAATTTCCCTCTTGCTTTCATTATTGTTTGAACCTAAAAGCCATATTGTTGACTTCCATCTTTGTTTTCTATTTTTATGGATTTCACATAAAAATAGTAATTTCTCCTTGAGAAAGATTTAAAGACAAATAACTTCATTTAGGTATCATTATCCTGCTTCGGTTCTCGTTGAATTGATGAATTAGAAAAGAATTGAGTGATGCAGGACTAAATATGCTTTAGATGAATGCGACAAGAACTTGCACAATTTTGGAATCCGTTGCTAGTCAATGTTCCATTATGCATAACTTTAATAACTAAAATGGTCTTCTCTCACAATGTCGTTTTATTAAAGTGCAATAAATGAGTTCTCATGGTACTCATCATATACCTTCTTCAAATCAATAAAAATCATACGAATATCATTGCTCTTTCCTGAATCTCCTTCATAAAATTGTTTGTAAAGTAGGTCTTGGATTAAATCCAAATTGGTTTTTATATACATAATTTTCTTATGCCTATATTATTTTACTATCTCCTATAGGTTTGTTGCATGACTCAAGTGTGATTCTCCTATTATTATAACAATCTTGAACATCTCTTTAATTTGGGTACGAAAAAATGTTTCTTAATATCCTTTGATCTTTAAGGTTCCATTGAAGAGATTGCTAATCGAACTACCTTAAAATATTTCATAATTTTTCAGATCTCAAGAGCTATCTCATAGAGACCTAATATGTTTATGATTATTCTTTAGAGCTGACCAAACTTTACTTTTTTGGAATCCGTTTATAATCTATTTCATCATTTTTATTATTTTCATTATGCTCTTTTAAAAATATTTTTTTCTTTAAATCATCATTTAATAGTTTTAAATAACATTTTCTTCTTTTCTTTGTTTTCAAATTTAACTAAGAGTACAGGATCTTCTCTTTTAATAAATCTAATTGTTCAAAGTTTTTAGATCTATCTTTTGCCTTAAATATTTTATACAACTCAGTCTATTATATAAATCATGAAAAATTGGAGTTTTGTTTTATTCTATCACTCTTTGAAGCCACTTGTATTTTCTTTACTATTTTTTTTGTACCTCACTTAAGTACAAAGTCTTTTTACTTATTTATTTATTGTCTTTTCTAGGCTCTAGTTAAGACCAGCAATCTTTGCCCACATCATATTTTGTTGAACTATATATTTACAAATCTCTTTGCACCGCCTGTCTTGAAGGATATACAGCTACTAGTTTGAAGTCCATCATCTTATTCCAAGGAAATTATTCTTCTTATTGCTTTTAATATATATATTCTTCTTATTACTTTTACCTCACTTAAACTACTAGTTGATATTACATGGTTTAATTTTAAGAACAAGTATGTGATTGGTCAGATCCACTTCAGGAACTAAAGTGGTCTTCTCATTTCAACATAGTATTATAGCTGTCATGAAATACTTCTGGTAAATTTTAATTAAATTTACCCTCTAAAGAAAAGTAAAGGATTTATCATCAGCTTCTGCAATATTTCATATCTTTCAAATTTTGTTTTGGTAGAAAATGGTATTGTGCTTATTGTTGGTCTGCCCTAAGAAGATAGAGGTTTTTTATGAACGGCTTTTTATTGTTTATAATTAAGAAATTTTCTAGTAGAGAATTTTATTTACTTTCTGAAATCTTAGAACGTAGAAGTTATATCCTTGGTGTAGCCAAAAGTTCAAGTGCATTGGTTAGTGTGTTCATTTGGTTTTTGTTCTTAGTTCCATACCGTTTGCCCACTTTTCTAGTTGTTTTCTGCTCTTTTTACTTCTTTTCAAAAATTTCACAGATCAAAATCAAATAGCTGACCCGTGGGGAAGCAAACTGTCTTCTTGGAATGGAGGTGATTCTAATTTTTGTAAAAAATGGATATATTTATATTTTAGCTTAGGCACTTTGTTTGATTCAGATCAAGAACAAGGACCTGCAAATAAGGGTGAAGCACCGAGCGTGAGTGCAGAGCAGAGCTCATGGAATAAAGTGGAAAGTGGAGATAAAGGTGTTGATGCTAAGTGCAAAAATGATGTAGATGCCTGGAACAAGGCTTTTACTAAAGTAGAAACTTCAACCAGTGGCTGGCCAGCACCCGTTCAGAAAACAGGACAAACCTGGTGTTCAAATGGTAACAAAATGCAAAAATTCAAGAAAACTTCCTAAAGTGAGGTATATTTATTTGGATGGATGAACTGGTGATAATCAACATACTCATCATTATGTTAGGTGACGGCGATGGCTCGGATAGTGCAGCTCATACTGCTGTTGAAGGTGTTAGTGATGCTGTTGGATGGAGCAAAGCTAAGCTCTCTACCCCTGATTCTGGACAAGGCCGGACCATAGGTAAAGCAATAAAACCATACATACTCTGTGACAGATCGAATGTCTAAACGTTGTTCTTAGCACATCTATCAACAAATGCAGGTGAAGATAGTTGGAACAAAGCAGCATCCAAGCCCCCCATATTAAGCGATACTGAAACTAGTGGATGGGAACAGACTAAACTTCCTGGTTCAGATGCTGGTGGAAGCTGGAATACGAATGGTACTTTTTGAGTCCAATAAATATTAAATTTCTTTAGGTGGTATTTGTGATTTGCATGATATGGTAGCATATCTTTAATGCTGAAGTGCTGACAGTTTTTGCAAGAGAAGCAAATGATAACTCTGTTATCTTGTTTTAAAAAAACAAATGCTTGCAGGTGCCGCTGCTGACCGGAAGAAAGACAGTAGTGGAAAGGACAGAGCAGACGGTTTTGGCGGGCAATCAGGTAATTGGGCTTCTCCAAAGAATGTTGGAGGTGATAATCAAGATTCATGGAGCATCAATGGAAAAGGTTTTCTTGGAAATAATGAGGATGGCTGGGGTAAATCTGCTGCCTCTCAAGAGATAAAACTAGTTGCTAAGAGTACATGGGAAACCTCTTTCAATAGCTCAGTGCAAAGTAAAACATGGAAAACCCCATCCGCAGATGAGAATCAAGCTTCTGATTGGGGTGCGTCTTCACTCGAACAATCAAGTCAAACAAGCGGTTGGGACAAAGAAAAAGAAGGTTGGCAGAAATCTAAACAAGCAGATGCAACTGCAAAAGAAGGTTGGAAGAAAGATGGATTCTCTAGTGAAGGTCAAATAGACAGATGGAATAAAGAGAAATCATCTGACAGGGATCAGGCATCTGACTGGAACAAGGCAGGAAATGCAGGTGGTGGAAAAGATGTATTGACAGATAGCTGGGACAAAGCAAAGAGTTCTGAAGGAAGTGTTTTTGGTCAAGATAGTCAAGGACATTGGAAGGCAGGAGATGGTTGGCATAATGACCATCATGATCCTAACGTTGGCAAATCAAAAGATTCTGATTCGGGTCAAGGGTCAGGTTGGTCACAAGGGCATTTCAATCATGAAAGTGGTAATAATTGGGCTCAACAGAGGGATTTTGATGGAGGAAGAGGATCTAGCAGGGGTAGAGGAAGGGGCAGATATGGCGGGAGGGGAGGTAGAAATGAAGATAATTTCGAGAAACCAGGTGACTCTGATGGGAGCTGGAGATTTGGTAGGGGTAGAGGCGGTGGTCGAAATGGAGCTGGTGGTTACAGTAGAGAGAACTCTGATACGAGGGAGTTTGGTCGAGGTAGAGGGCGCGGTCAAGGTCGAGGCCGAGGGCAAGGTGGTCAGGGGCAATTTGAATCATCTGATTGGAGAAACAGACAAGAAAGATTTGAAGGAGGGTTTTCTAATAAGCCTTCTAGTTGGGGCAATACCGACGGGTGTAAATCAACAGACGAACATTCAGCTGCAGGAATGGATGAAAAGGTTGGTTGGAACAGCGGGAACTCATATGGTGGTGGTAGTAAACCTGGCTGGGGAACTGATCGTGGAATTACAAATGACACCAATGTGGATAATGCTTCCAGCTGGAGCAAAGATGCAGACACTGGTAAACAGATAGATAACTGGAGCAAGTTAACTAGAAGTAATGATAATTGGAACACTCCTAAAACCTTTGATACTAAACCTTCTAGCTGGAACCAGACAATCAATGATACTGCTACAGGTGATGCCACTTCAAGTCAATTAACTGATTGGAAAAAGAACACACCAAATTCTCAAGATGTTTCATTTGTGGATTGGGCTCATGGCCTTTCTGTAACCAAAGGTACTACAAATGATGACAAATGGACTAGTGCAAAATCCAGCACTGGCGACCATGGTGATACATTATCAGGGAATTTAAACTCAAATAATTGGCGCGAAACAGCTACGCTGAACAAAGAAAATGAAGCTGGTGACAGTCAAGGTGGTTGGACTAGTAAGAAAGTAGACACTCAGGCAAGCCAAACATCTTCTGAGAGTGAAAACAACTGGGGGAAATTTAAGGAACCTTGCTCTTTTAGCACAGCTGATGGCTCTGGGAGTTCAAAAGATTGGGGTAATAAGAACTTGGCCAGCTTGGATTCACGTTCTAGCCATGGTAATTGGGATGCAAAGGATTCTTCTGGCGACCAGTCATCTGATTGGAACAATGGCGGGGGAAACAAATGGAGCAAGCAAAGCGGAGGTCAGGGTAAGTCGGAAAGTTGGAGTCGTGGGTCAGATTTTGGTAGGGGTGGTGGAAGAGGGAGGGATAACTCATTTTCTAGAGGTCGTGGTCTCGGAAGGAATTCCGGTGGACGCCGTTCTTATGGTTGGAACAGTAGTGATGACTCTGGTAAAGAAGGTAATGATGGGGGTCAAGCATTTAAAACTGGGGGGACCTGGAGCAGGGGACATGGCACCTTTGAAGGTGAGAAGGACAGTTGGAATAGTGGAGGGAATGCTGAAAAGGGCTCATGGGGCAGTTGGAAATCCGGCGAAAATCAATCGACTGGTCAAGTGCAGGGCTCTGGGTGGGCATCTTCAGCTTCTTCGTCTGTTAACATGGTTGAGAGCTCTTCCGCCGACGCCTCCCAGAATCCGGGGAGTTCAAAAGATTGGCCTGATAACAGCAACTCAGCCGACTGTAATCTGCGTTCTAGTCCATGGGGTTCCAAGCAAGAACCAACTTCTACTCAAGGTAATTGGGGCGGAAACGATTCTTCTGGCAATCAGGCATCTGATTCGAACAATGATGGGGGGAACAAATGGAACAAGCAAAATGAAAGCCAAGGTAAGTCGGAAAGTTGGAGTCGTGGTTCTTTTGGTAGGGGTGGTGGAAGAGGGAGGGATAACTCATTCTCTAGTAGAGGTCGACATTTCGGGCAAAATTATGGCGGCCGAGGTGCTAGTAAAGAAGGTAATGATGGTCGGCAAGCATTTAACTCGAACCCTGAATTCAAAACTGGGGGGAGCTGGAACAGGGGAAATGGCACCTTTGAAGCTGAAAAGGGCGGTTGGAATAGCGGAGGGAATACCGAAAAGGCTTCGTGGGGCAGCTTGAAATCTGAAGCTGGTCGAGCCAAGCCCGGGTCAGAAGCTGACTGCAGCAAAAGCAGTTGGGATTCACCAACTGCTATTGGCAGCAATATTGCATCTGGTTGGGAATCTGCTTCAGCGAAAGATCTGGTAACTCAGCAGAAGAACAATCCTTGGGGTTCTGCAAATGTCAATGAGAAATCTACATGGGACTCTGGATGTTCAGATGAAAAGCAGAAGAATCCTTTATCTGAAACTGGTCATGTTGGATCTTGGGACACGAAAAGTGCGCCCAGCGAGGATGAAAATTCAAACAAACCAAGATCCTGGAATGTGAAAGGATCAGGTTCTGAAGGGTCTCTCCCAGTTCAAGCAGAAGCTCCGAAATGGCCTACAGATTCTTCCAGTAAGGATGCTTTCCAGCAAGGCGGACAAGAGAGAAATTGCTGGGGGAAAGCAGACAATTCTGGCAATGGAGGAGCAAATTCAGGCTGGTAATGGGCTTTACGCGCATGCAGAAAAGTCTTTGTAAATATGGTAAATTTCGTCCACTTTCCAAGTTTGGTGATCTTTTCTGCTCATAAATGCTTAAGACTTTTTGTTTAGTCACTCTACACCATGATTTTGGCTTCCTTCATATGTTATTGACTGATGTTTATGTTCTCGGCTTTGTTCGTTAACATGTATGACTTAGCTTGATGGCATCCCTAGTTCATATCCGTTATTTTATTTAGAGCTGTTTAAAAAAAATTATTGTTTGTGTTCGATCGATCGTGTTTGTAAAATAGAGCTGTCAAAAAAACATATTATTTGGTTAGATCGAAAGGAGTAAGGCGTCTGAGAAAGTTATATGTGATGAAAATATTTTTTAATGATTTATATAATATATTAGATACTAAGGAGGATGAAAGATATATGTATAAGTTAACTGTTACGCCGGCCCATCCTGTTATTGTTTGTGTTCGATCGATCGTGTTTGTAAAATAGAGCTGTCAAAAAAACATATTATTTGGTTAGATCGAAAGGAGTAAGGCGTCTGAGAAAGTTATATGTGATGAAAATATTTTTTAATGATTTATATAATATATTAGATACTAAGGAGGATGAAAGATATATGTATAAGTTAACTGTTACGGGGGGGGGAATTAGAGGGTGGGCCCACTTGAGGTTAATTCAAGTTAGGAGGGAAAATATTTGAATGAGGGGTTGTTTAGGCATTTTGTATTAATCCTTTGTCTTTAATTAGGTGTTTTGGGAGGGATTTGAAAATCATCTTGGATTTGAATTATTTTTGAGATCTAGGGTTTGTGTTCTTGGGCTCTAAGCTACGGCTAGAGATTTGGAGAGTTTTTCCTTCCTCTCGAATCGAAGGAAAGTTGTATCTTGCAAGTGCTTTTCAT